GGGGGGTGCAACCCCCCTGTTTCAGCCACTGACTAATGTTATGATACCAATAAAATGGGGAGTAGTACTAGTAAAAGTCGGTCTGCAGACAGAAATAGGGGATTTCCCCTGTGACCACACAGCTGCCTGAAATTTCCAGGTGGGAGGTATTTTCGAAGCATAGTAAATCTCATAGTATAGTAGCTTTCAGAAAATAATAACATTCGTTAATAGAGTTTGGTACCCTGATGTGAATTTTTGGTTATTTACCTACTTGCATACCTTAACAAAGCACTGATATTTACACAGAGAAGTCGAGTGACTGAACTTGCTGTGTAAATATTACTATTCTCAAAAGCATAATCTGCTTTTCCCCATTTAAACAGCAGAAGTGAAGAAGCTTTTGTGTGACTCTGTCTGATCAAAACTTTATTCATTGTTGAATTCAAAATGGTTGATGGTGGAACAGGGTTCTGCCCAGGATTTTTTAGTGCCGGGCGCATCCAGTTGCGACGAAGTCGGAAGATGCAAGCGCCGTAGGCGCGAAGCCAATCTAGGGGGGTCTGGGGCATGCCCCACCGGAAAATTTTTAATTTTGGATAGTCTGAAACTCAATTTCCTGCATTCTGAGCAATAAAAAGCCCATATATCATACTTTTTTTTCTTTTCTTTTTTTATATATCAAAAATTAGTGCCGGGCAGAGATATATAGTGCCGGGCGGCAACCGCGAGTGCCGGGCACACCCGCCCACCGCCGCCCACCGTGGCCAGAACCCTTGTGCAATTTAATTTTTACACATGCACATAGGATATGTATCTAAGATAGTAGGCCTATCATTGGAGCTGTTTGTGGTGACACTGATTTGTGGTGACAGCATACGCTAGGCTATACAAATTAGTTTGATAATAATGGTAACTTTTAAATAAACGTTTATAACTATATTGTAGGTTTAAACAACAAGACCAAAAGATCTATAGAGGAAGCAATTATAGTGCATACCTATCTCATAAAACATGACAACTGCAGCACGACCAACATTTGAACCAGCCAGAGGTGGTAGGGGGAAGAATGAAGGGGATCTAAGTGCTTTGTCGAAGCAGTATTCCAGTCGAGATCTACCAGGCCAAACACGGTTGAAATACAGGTAGGTTCACAAACAGATCATGCAATGCCGCACAATGGAGTGTTTAGGGGCTGAATAGTATTTTCTTTTGTTGTCACGATAGTTGTTTTGCACGTACATAACTAGTGATGGCATCTGCATCAGCATTGGCTGACCCAGTAAAATGTTATTTATCTAATCATGATTAATGACATAATTTTTATCACGTGATATTGATTGTAGAATAATAGAATATGGAGTGAACTAGAAAGAATGTTGATTTTAATGTCCCTCGTGGTGGTACTGACTACCCTATTTTCAGGGGTTACACATTATTAATCCGTGTACCAAATTTACCTCTAGGCCACAGCTCTCTCATAAGTATGTGTATAAGAACAGCAGTAATATCGCTTGTTAACTGCACTGTGCAATTTTCAATTGGCTTTTATTGAGTTACATGTAATAGCTCATCTTAAATCTGGTTCAATAAGTATGTTTCTTAGATTTTTTTCTTGCAATTTTTTTTCCTTGTTTTTGTTGTGCCTTGTTACTATGTACTACTTGGGATATCTTGTTTCTGCATTGCATAGGGAAGAAGGTCAAGGGACACAGGATGAGCTGCGTAGCAGAGACTTTCGCAGGGAGTTGGAGGAAAGGGAACACTCGTCTAGAGAAAAGAGAGGTTCAAGGGATCCGAAAGACAAAGGTAAATGCTATAGTTTTTGTACAGAGCACTGAAGTGTGGCAGTGTATGTTCTTCTTGGGTAGACACGATTCCAAGAGTGTTTAGTAGTTTCCAAGAGCTAATAATTAATTCATAGTGTGTATAATGGGAAAATTGATAAATAGTGCCATTTTAAATGCAAACCTAGAGTAAATTTTCTTTCCTCTCTAAAGCAAGACCAACTGCTTGTCTCTATGACACTTCTGGGCTGAGATATTGGATTGTAATCTTAGCTCATCTAAGCATTACAGGCTTGTAGAAATCGAATTGAACACATCTCTTGCGCCTACGCTCGCTTCTGCTTTTTGCCTATCATTCTCTGTCGCTGGTTGCAGTGCTGATCAATATGTCACTCCTCCAAATTTGGTCTTCTGTTGGGTTATATTATTGTATCTAACTTTGGGGTAGCAGTATCACTAGTAGTAGTACTAGTAGACTACTAGACTACCAGGTTGAAAATTTGGTGGCACATTTTAGACAGTCAAAAAATCGACATACATATAAACATCGACTCATAGAAATAATATCTAGTTATACTCCATACATTTCTATGCATCGACACTGTATCATGTACTTATTACACTGGTTACCATAGGCAGCGGCTAATACGTTATAGTGCTTCTACTAGTACTAGTATCTGGTACTTCTAACAATGTAATTAGGAATTGTATTTACAAGAGACTTATCTTATAACGATGTTGAAGTGAATGAATCTCAAGACGATCTATAAAAGTCGCAGATCGTACCATACGTACAGACGGGAGCACAAACATAGAGTTTCGCTATCTTTGTTGACCAGTCTAAAGCACCATTCTTGAACCACGTGCACCGAGGTCAAGTCCACCCCAACCATGCTCGCGCTACAGCATATATAATATATAAATATATAACACCATTGGTCTAACTTGCTGCCGAGCTTTGCACAACTCGCTGTTTTCAATGAACTTCAACTCGGGTGTTCCTGCAGATGGCACCACTTTCCAACTATCGCTGGAATTGTGTAAGACTGCTTGAAACAAGCTACACTATTAATTTTGGACAATCGGCCTGACAAAAAATTCACTCAAATTACAGAAATTCCTCAAATGTTGATACAAAACGACCTGTCAAATGTTACAGAAGTGGAGACAGGTATGGGCAACTGTTGGCGGCTGTCACCGCTTATGTAACATTCGGCCAGTCATTACTATTTTCACTGGATTTGAGTTATGTAGCATGACAGCAGGATAGACAGAATTTGGAAAGTAAAACTGTAGCAGTAACAGCAAACTGATCCAGCAAACACAGCAACACAGTCCAGCCTATGTAGGTCTTAAGTCTGTTTACGTGTGTTGAAGTTTTAATTGTAAGCAAGGTGGTAGCAGCGGACCTAGTGACCAGCTTGGTGCAAACTGGCCGCAATATCAATTGGGAGCCCATCAAGCATGAACAATTATTGATTGAACAGATTTTCTTCCTATACAGGCCATATAACATGGTATTTTGGAGTGGTGGGATTTTCATAACCTGTAAGAACAGGCGCCTGGTTTTTTTATTTTCGAATGTTAGTTATTTTCAAGTTTGTTATATTAAACTATGAATACACTTTCGTAGATTCAAGCAAGAGACCAAGACTAGATCAGATTCCGGCTGCAAACTTGGACGCTGACGACCCAATTGATGACGAGGTATAGCTGGATGGGTTTCCTGGCAATAATTCTCCTACACCACCTAATATGATGTGATTGTTCACTGAATAAAACAGCATGTCTTGGTCATCGTGCCTACGCGGTCATGAATGAGGAAGCTTTCCACACAGTGTTGGGTGTCAATTGTGATGATGCATTGATGAATTAAATTTCATTTTGAATTGTTGAAATAAGTGCCAGAAACTAAGTAGACTCAAAACTACATTTTTATCTTGCAACTAATTATTTGCTACATTTATGACTATATGCAACAAAGCTTGAACATGTATTACTGGCTAAAACTTGATATCTACTCTGTAACCTTATTTTTAAATTATGTTTGAAGTAATGAGAAAAGACTTGTTTATTATGCCGTGGACCAGTGGTATCTATGGTATAGTGTGTTTGATCTTTACTGTGAACCTGCATTGTGCTATGTTCATGTTTGTATGTGCAGGATGAAGATGTGGACTCTGATGAGAGCGATGAAGATGATACAGCCGAGCTGATGGCTGAACTGAACAGGATTAAAAAAGAGAGAGCAGCAGAGCAATCCCGCAGAGTGAGTACCAAACAATTATAGTATGCACAAAGTGCATGCTAAACACACGTTCATTAATCGTAGTTCTCCCCAGGAACTATAGAAGGCATGTTGGCTAATTGGCATTTCATTCTCGGCTACTAATTAGAGTCAATTGCGCGTGTCGCAAGCGGCCCCAATACACAGGTAAGCTAGACAGAGTGCACTCACGGAGAGTGCATACCTCCGCCAGCGACATACGCCATACGACTCACGAACACACGAATAAGACACGATATACGCCAGTGTACTGAAATGTAGACGCTGGCTTGCTGGCTTGCTGCTCACTCGCTCGTAGCAGTCGCTCATTGCTGCTGCTCGCTCACATGTACACGCTCGCTGGGGCGCTGCGCTGGCTGGCTGACGCACTAATATCGATCGCGCGAACACACTAACACACGAACACACAAGAGCGATCACATAACCTCCTCTAACTCTGTTGGGCGGAGGTAACTAGGTCAGTTCAAAGACGAATACACCGAGTTGTGATAATATAGGACTGTCTTGGGATTGTCAAAAGTAAACACGGCTGGAAATTAAGGCATGTCGATTAGGCAGTTAAGGCATCTTCATGAGTTATAGGATGTTGCAAATTAGTTTCAGCTTTGAAGGAATGTCAGAATCCAACGTGTTAAAAGCCTGCGGAAAACCTTGATTAATGTTCCCCAGTCCCACCTATTCTGTAATAGATTTAATATATTTATCAACTCACACTTACATAGTGTAGGCAGAAAGTTAGCAAATACAAAGTTTAGAGACATACGTGAGTGTGCATTGGTCACAATAAAGTGGCTCCGCATAGACTTAACTGAACTCTGTTGTGATGTTAAAGATTGACCTCTCTGCCTGGGGTGATTACCAGGATAGCTCTTGACAATCAGACTTGTGGTAGAGGCATTTTGAAAATGTTGCTTAGTAGCGAAGTCCAGCTAAGTGAATAATTTGACATGCACGTGTGAAAATGCTTAAATTTATCGTACGACCCTCACGACCCCCCTCCCCCTCCCCCTGCATCCCTGCATTGGCATACACCCCCTGGGGGTGAACACACATGCGAATTTATTTCGCGCGCGGCCGCAGCGATTTTAAATCCAGCGAAATTCGCATGGTGTGTATCCGCTCACAGGTCTTGATATTTTCGCTGGCACGATCTTTTCCGCTGATGTACAATTCGCATAGGTTGTCTCCGGTGGAAGCGAAAATCGAGCCGGCCCGATATTCTATAATCAGCGAATCATTCATCAGTATAGCCTAATCACGTGACCACATGACTGTTGGAGGCTGTGTGCGACAGGGAGATCGCGTGCTGAGGTGTGTCCGCTGCAGTGATGCGGTGCGAAATATTTTCGACCGGCAAATTTCGCATGTGAGATATGGCTAAAGCGAGGGTTTTAGGTAATAAAAGTTTCGCACTATTTGTTTCTTCAAATAGCTTGTAATGGAGCTGTTTTGACATGCATTGTTTCACATGCAAACGTTTGTATTTCGGCAAGGATGATTACTTTTTTAATAAGAAACCTTAAATAATTTGTTGGCTGTACATAATTGTTGCGCTTTTCTGTAATCTAAATTAATATATATCCATATTATAGCGCGTGCTCTGCATTCAGTTTGGTTCCACCTATTCAATAAATGAGTTTGGTGAAGAGTATTCTGATGAGTTCATGTTTAAACGTGATAACGACCTTCGCAAATTGCAGCTTCAAATTCGCTGGCACATGGGACGATTCCAACCAAACACACGCTCCATGTGCATCACCAACAGTCCTGGGAATCGGATCTCACTATACACGAAGCGTCGACAGGTTTAGGCCTTGTTCTGGTGTCCACCCGTCGGATCTTCCAACCTCAACCCTTCAAGAGTTTAACGCTGGCCTTTGGTCTCAGACCTTGGCCAGGGATAGGTTGAGCAACAAGTACTCGGTACGGTTTACCCTAAAGCGAGCAATTCCAACCACCCGCTAAACAACTATGGGCCACTTAGGAATAATATATAACAAGGTGAGAACATACAATAAACAACGTCCTATGTGTGTGTTATACACAAAAAGAAGCTCTTAAATCAAGTAGAGGCACACGGAGGACATCTTTCCATTATAGAGAGTTTGTCCACGGTTCGGGTATATATTTTATATTTGAACTGTGTCAGAGTAATAACTAGTGTGTCAACTCGTGATTTTGATGTAATAAACAGAAGCAAAAGACTAGCATGCATCTTGGCTATATTTTCTTCTGTCCTGTGCTGTTCCATCTATTGTGATCAAAATAAAATAAAAAACTACATCGTGGTGGTTTATCCTTAATGAACCGAATTTGAACGTTCTGAGTGAACGCGGCAAAATGATTTTAATTTAATGAATATTTAACTTTTTAATAGGAGAGACAAAAAGGCTGAGAGATGAGCGAATACGGACAGAAACATACTTAGGTGGCATCCACGTTCTAATGCAACAAAGGGGAGAACTTTAAGTAAAGCAAGGTGGTATCTTGTGTAGACCATGGCTTAGTTAAGAATGATTGACTAATTAATTCGTTATTTCTAGGCATCATGGGCAATATCTATATCTAAGTGAACATGATACTACACATGTAATCTTTTGGTGTTGATCAATACTTTTGTTAAAAGTAATTTTTACTCTTTAAATTAATTAATTTCACATATAATAGGATTTTCGGTCCATAAGTTATTAATGTGAGCTTTGGCGTAGCTGATTGAACATGCTGTGCATTTGCAATATAATATGTAACTCATTCCGAGGTGCATCTATGACAGGCGACTGTTACAGTGGCGACATGCTGCATGGCGCCGCCACTGAATTGTTAACATCATTTTAAGACAGTGACGAGCGGTTAGTTTTGGACCTGAGAGTATTCCGTTTTCGTCTTAGCCTGTCTCTACCCGACCCTGCCGGACCAATATAATTATTCCTAAGAAAAATGCAGGGCTTGAATTGGTCCGGACTGAGTGAAAGTACTTCGAAAGCACAAATATATCCGTTTTTTTTTAATAACGGCAACTTTTGCAAAACGGGCACTTTGCGTGGAGTAAGGGCGGGGGGCTGGCGCACCCTCTGCACCCCTGGATCGCGCCCTGATACTTGTGATATGTCATTAACTGATTCTACTGTTTCCTGACAATGTACCCTTTGATCCGGGTGCATGGGCAAGGGGGGAGCGGCGGATTACTGGACAGTTTGGGCTTTTACAGTTCCATTTCAGCCATCACCTAACTAACATGGTTCTGATTTCTAGCATAGCTTAGGAAATTTGCAGCCCTTCCTGATAGAAATTACTGATATTTAGCAATATTGACTCTTTGAGCTCAATGCTAACAATCTATAATTGTTAAAATCCATCATGGTTATGAGACTACGAGGTATTTCTGTGTTTGATGCAATAGTTTAATTTCGAACTTTTCAGGTGGGAATGATGATGTTGTTTTTAAGACTAGCGCAGGAGCTTTGAAAAATAGACAGGCAGGTTGTCAATGAACGCTGCGCTCAGAATTCTTCCACAAAAAATTCATGATAAGTACATACAAATAAACATACAAATGATCAGTCCTTGCATCCTTTATAATGTATCTGCCTCATAACTACCACAAAATCCCTAAATATATAATAGATTTAAAAGGCGTATCTGCTAGTGTGTTATTATGTGTATGTTTCTATTTATTTTTGGCATCCAGTTTTGCATTGCAATACACGCATGCATGTGTACACATTGCACATGCACACATTCAATATTGTACATCAAACACAGTATTGTTTTAGGGTACTACGTCTAATTTGAAAAGGACATTACTTAGGACGATTTATATATACATATAATAAGCTAATAATACGTAGTGAAGTATATGGGGAAAAACAGGGGCATAGGCTATTTTCACAGCAAAAATTGTATTATTTAAATTGCAATCTAGAATAAGTTTGATAGTATTGCATTAAGCAGCTATCTTTCCCTAACTAAAACAGGGACCAACCAACTTGTCACTTTCGACACTCCTAGCGGAGCTATCGGATTGTAATTTTTAGCTCATCCCAGACGTTACAGGCCATGTAGGAATCGAGTTTAACACGTGACTCTCGTCATAAGAAATTAATATTAGGTAGAATGTATAATTACTTAGTCTAAATAAATATAGCCACGCTACCGGCATCGCGCAGCTTCCAGCTACGGGTCCGTCATACATTTCTTATGTGAATTCCCCAACTATATTTTTCTTTTACGTAAAACAGATAAACACATAATGTGGTCTCACAGTGATAGACGCCAACGTTACATGTGCTTACCGAAAGTGTTATTTCTTACATGGGGCATATGACACTGAAATAATGCGAGGTTCGTCCTTTGTTATAAATTGCGGAATCTTCTTCACACATGCATGGGCAGCTGACTCATAATGTATGATAATAGATTTTAATCGGCCAAGGTGCAATCGTGAAGGTTTAAGGAGCTGGTGTAAGAACACTGACGTACGGACAATATAGAAGTAATGGCGCAAAGAATACGGGTTTAACACTAGTTTACGTATAATCTGTCCGTAATAACGAAATGCACAAACAAAATAGTTACAAACTGGGGCGTAGAACTAGTTTTCTATAGGCCCCCATACGCATGCAATATAAATATGATAATTAGATAGCTAAAAAAGATTGCGTTAGATGGTATTCTGCAATGAAAACTATAATGAAATGCGCATTACAAAAGTTGCTGTTTATTCGCTATTAAAGCCTACTGAAAGCAACTATCGTACTATATAACTATTGTACTAACAGATCAGCAGCAGTGTTATCAGTAAGCGACGGTGACTGTGACCCGGACTGTGAGCGCTCACTCGATCGAATCATCGGAAAACATAGTTTATTGACTACACTACAATATGCGGGTTTCAAAAACTATCATGATAGTTCCGAGGTGGTTTGGGCTGAAACTTGATTTGCCTCTTCGTGTCCATTTTCTGTATGTTAAACCTATAACCTTCATCAAATTTATCATGGTTAATTTGGATAAATTATTTTTACTGCGGTGAAATCATGTGCACTAAAAGTTAAGCGTCTCTGTTTGGGTAAAGGGCTTTAATTTTTACTGCAGAATTTATTCTACTATGCATATCTTTCTAGTGTCGTGTGTGTGTGTGTGGCTCGCGCCGGTGGTGCGTGTGTGTGGGTGTGTGTGTGTGTGTGTGAGAGAGTCGTGTATGTGTGTGTGGTGTGTGTGGGTGTGTGGGTGTGGTGGTGTGGGTGTGTGTGTGTGTGTGTGTGTGGATGTTGGTGTCGTGGTGTGTTGTGGTGTGTATGTGTGTGTGCGCGTGGCGCGGTGTATGCGTGTGTGCGGCGCGCGCCTGTCGTTGTGTGTGTTGTTGTGTTGGTCGTGTGCGCGCAGCGGTGTGCGGTGTGTGTCGTGAATATGGTGTGTGTGGTTGTGTGGGACGGACTTGACCAAAGGCTGGGCCAGCTGTTTTCAAAAACAAATTAAGATAAATAAAAAGGACTCATATTTACTACTTATTTATGTACGCTCTATATCCGCCGAAATCATTTTTACGGTCGCAATTCCTTTTTAAATTGCTCCGCCAACATTTTGGGTGCACGAAGCACGATCTGTTATATATATATATATCTCATGATATATATTATATTCTATATCTATATATATAACAACTACCTAATTTTAAAAAATTAAAAGGGTGTGACTTTGGTGGCAGTGAATTAACATTTTTATGACGATATTTTACTGTGCAGTTCAGAGTCTTTCCAGCAGCCACTGTCAAATAACTTGTATTTGGGATGGAATGCTATTGAA